ACTCTCCTCCAGGGGGGCTGCTGGTGAGGAGGGGTTGTGGGGGGAGGTGAGGCTGGGGCAACGGCACGTGTGCCCACAGAGAGGGCTCTGAGTGCCGCCTCTGGCACGCGTGCCATAGGTTCACCACCACTGCTCTAGTAGAAGCCAAGTGCAAGAGCATTACTGTGCTAGTCTCCCTTCAGCCCAGCCTGGGCCTCTCACAGGGTGGCTGATCTTAGCTAGTTCCTAGGCAAGCAGACCTGCAGTATTTTCAGTAAGGTCTATTCATTGTTCATACAATCCTGTAGCAAAATAAATGGTCCAGTCTGTGTATTTGTCACACTTTTAATTTCGTTTAAATAAAGTTTGACAAACATGTAGACTAGGCCATTGCATAAATAACAGTATTGAGAAGAAATGTTATTCTAATGACTAACATGCAGTTTTAATAGTAGTCTGGACCTCAGCAAAGGATGTTGTAGATATTAGATGCAAAGTCATATTTTCCTCCTCCCATAAGCGCTTAATTTCCTGATTTTTTTTTTAAACATTACATACATTGTTTTGTAGGACTTATCAGTAATCTTGAAGGGGGAAAGGTGATTTGTAGTACACGGGGATGCTTATTTTTGTTTTTAAGTGCTCTTCAGAAAAAAAATATCCAAGATTGGTGATTCAGCATTTTTAAGAAATACTATGATAAGTTCATTAATTAGTTAAAGTCAAGGAATTGTAAAAGCTTCCTATATTATTTTACACATGGAAACTCAGAAGGAAATTTCATTAATTTTGATGCAATTAACTCTTAAGTTTTCAGTCTTAATCAAAGCTGAAATTGTTCACATTATGAGATGAAGTGGTCACAACAGCCATTTGTCTTGGATGCTATGGCAAGGTCACCTTACTAGGTATGTCACATGTTGAGTAGTCAGACATTTTTTGGATTTAAATACATAAAATCATAAATATATTATAATACAATCTAGGATCCAATGACTATAATTTTGTTCACAAACAATTGCCATGTATTTTGTATTTAAACAAAAGTAATCTGTGATAACTACTCAGTATAGATACATCATGCTGCATCTGAAAGTCAGTTAGGTGCAGTGGTTGGGATGCAGGCCTAGAAACCAGAAGACCATGAGTTCTAATCCTGCCTTAGGCAGGAAAACGTGGTTGGATGACTTTGGGCCAGTTACTCTCTCAGTCCAGTTTGCATCACAGCAGTTTTGTTGTGGGAAAATAAGAGCCAGACGAATTATGTATGTTTGAATTATAAAACAAGAATTATATATCTTTTTATATATAAGCTTAGATAATATATATAAGTTTATATACAAAAAGGGGAATATAAAACTGTAATAATAAAATAGTAATAATGTACAAATTAGATATTTTAAAAAATATAGACGCGTGAATTCTTGCATCTTGTATTTTGCTACTAATTTATCTTGCCACATTACATTCTACAAGGAGAAAGGCAGAGGTTAGTTTCTCTCATTTTACTTATCTTCATTCCATATACTCTCTTCTTAAAGTTCCACTTCCCATTTTTATTCCCTTGATCAGGAGCTGTGGGCCTAAATCTAATGAACTTCCAAATACACATCCAAGTATGAACACTTATGGTAATATTTTTATTTTAGCTAAATAAAAGCTAGAATAGTTAATAACTGAAGAAAAGCTAGAATAATTCCTGACTCGGGGTAGGTGGCTGATCAGTTAACTAAGACTGAATAGATGTAACTTGTTAAAAAAAGAACCTAGGACAGATGTTCAAGGAAACTGAAGACACTCAGGATTTCAGTGTTAAAGTATTTTAGATTTAATCAGTTGAGTCTAGTCCAAAATTATATTACTAGATCAGAAAAACAATACATAAAGCTGCCTGTCTTGTATATATCTCACACTGGCATCCCAAAACCAGCACAACTTCCAATAGGTCAGAAATTATTGGAGTCCGTCTTCAAGAAATCACAATAGATCATATTTAGATCACATATTTCATCTTGTTCTTTTCTGTACATATAAAGCCTGCTGCAACCTTATACAGAGGTGTGTGCATATATTAAATACTGGGGACAAACTAAGAAAATGGTGCTTATATTTTCAAAAGCTTGTTAAACCATCAATAGGAAGAAGTTTATCCCAATTATGTGTCAAACTTATAAAATTAATCAACAATTTTATTACAATGATTTAAGATAAAACAATTGCAGTTTGACTGGATGAGAGCAACAGACACATTTGTAAGAATAAAATAGGATATAATGATTAAAAGGGCTCTTAAAGAGTTCTTACTGCCTGCTCAATGATAAGCATATTAAAATCCTGTAAAATCATCTTCTAGATTTCGAAATGAATTAAACCAATGTGTAGGTGTACTCAGACATATTTATGATGTGAATTCATTTTTACAAATTCAGAAAGATTTTGAACAACAGCTCACGCTACAGTTCAAAAATATTTTTAAATCCATTGATACATATTAACTAGAGTTTATTTTCAATCTGAAAGCAGAAAAAAAAACTTAAGGAAAAGTCCCTATGCCTGTTGAATGAACCTTTGGCATCATGATTCAGTTTTAATATTGATACAGAAAAGTCTATTATATCTGGGACAGCAGTAACCTCCAGGTTAAGATAAGAAAAGAGAGGGGGGTATCTGTTTCATACTAAAAACATTCCTGGGGAATCAAAAGAATACTAACATAGAGAATGACTTTTGCTTAATACATAAGGGCCAAAAAGAAAAGGCTGCCCATCTTGCTAGATAGCACAAACCATTTAAATAAATACTAGGGAGACATCTATTCAAGACCCAAAAAAAGACTGGAGACATAATACTTTTTAAAAGGTAGCAACTGAGAGCAGTAAGATATTCTCATGTGCTTTATAATTGCCAATCTTACTTCCAACTTGAGAGGCAGTGTCCAATTGCAAATATTTCAAAAGTTGCTCCTTTGTATATATTTATATATATTGTGCTTATGAAGAGAGCCAATCTCTATAGTAATACAGCTTTAAATTCTAAATTAATACAGAAAAGAGATCAATACTGTATACTGAAATGTACATCTCTCCACTTCTTCTAGGTTTCCTCCAAATGCATTCAGGATCCTAATTAATAAAGGAAGAGAGAGACAGAAAAGGCTTTTGAGATTTTGTTCACCTGAACTTTGAAGAATTTTGCTTCTATAGGTAGTCCTCAACTTACAATCACAATTAGGACTGGAATTTCTGTTGTAAGTTGGTGCAGTCATAAAATGAATCATGTGACTGGATCTGATTTTACAACCATTTTTACGTGGTCATTAAGTGAAACGTGGTCATTAAATGAATCACAGTTAACCTGCTTCCCAATTGACTTTGCTTGTTGGAAGATCACAAATCACAATCTTGTCACTTTTTCTGAAGCTGTCTGAACCACTTTTAAATGAATGGATGTAAATATAGGGCTACCTATATCAACTGTTGCCATCATCTGTTGTGTGAACTTTATGCAGCAAGATAAACAGATAAATAAAGGGAAGGAATGCTACAGTCTTTCCTGGAGCCTCTAGTAAACATGAGCACATTTATCTTCCAAGATTAGATGATATGGGCACGTTCCAGATACTATAGACCTAGACTACAAGAGCATGTTTATAAATGGAGAAGTAGCTTTGCACTTTTTCTTGCAATATATCTGGATAAAAATTGTCCCCAATGACTGCACAACAAGAAATGAGACACCTCTTGAAAATGTACCTTCAGCTTCCTTTTTTCTGTCCCACAAAAGATAAATCTAAATATACATGAGCCCTTCTATTAGTCTTACCTATACAGGTTTGGGCAAAAACAGTGCAAAGCTTCCAAATAGAAATACCAATAATGCTGACCTCTGACATAATTTAACGAATATTCAAACTGGATTCAAATACCCCACAATTTGGGGTCATTGCCAGTGAGATGAAAGAATGCTCATTTTCTCAGGCAATCTGGTTGCAAACCTGGGCCCAATTTGTGGCCATTCCAAGCCACACAGGAATGGGAATCCTTGTAGTCCTTATTGCCTTAATTGAGGATATTTCCCAGGATTCTCTTGCCTGAGGAATGCACAGCGCTGAATGGCTCAAAACCTTTTCCTATTACATAGGTACAAATTAAACATATGAGTAAATAAGTCTCTGAAATATAAAATAGGGACAAAAGCTTCAAAGGTTCAAGAAGTTGGGAATAAAGAGAGCTAATAAATTTCACTCTCCATTCTTCAGCTCACTTAGCTCTGTTCTCAGACAGGTGATGCTTGAAAAAAAAGAAGAAGAAGCGTGCTCATGACAAAAAACAGGGTTATAAATATAAAAAGGAATCCATTGTCAAGCACCAGTAACATCACCAGCTTTCTGCAGGCAGGATGAGCTCAGAATGTCCCCCAGAAATAGATATTTAATCCAGGAAAAATGGGGAAAGTCATTTTTAGCACTACGACTATCTGGGCTACTCCTTGGGTGGTAATGGAAAGTTATCCTTCTGTCAAAGAACAGTTTGTATTGAATGAAGAAACTCACAGCTAACGGCGAAGTCATCGAGCTGGTATGAGCCAAATGCTTCATGAACTCAAAGATGTGCTCCGAAATGATAGCCTTGGAGTTTGCCAGTAAAGCGAAATCCATATGTTCAAGGTGCTACAGAGTCAGATAAGCTTATCTCATTTCTTTCTTTCTTTTTTTAAAAAAAGTGGGATATGAAGACTGTCTGTTTGGCTTCTGCTGTGCTGGGGTGCTAGAATCCATTTTGGGGTGGTCACTGCAATCCTGCTGCAAACTACTACTCCATAATGGCCCGGTACAGTGCAGGCTCGATGTAATCCTCACGATAGCGCGAGTTGATCACCCTCTGTCTTTTTCTCTCTTGTTTGACTTCTTTCTCCGTGAAGATCTCTGTGAAGCGCATGTCAGAGGCAACAGACTGCAAATCAAGTAAGGACAAGAAATGTTAAAAGGACAGTGGCGAAAACTGGACTATAGGATATAAGTGATAATGACTCTACACCATTTTCCTCCTGCCGCAGATTACCTCCCATCGGCCTGTACGCTCCCACAGAGTGGGTCTCCTCAGGGTGCCGTCGGCCAGACAGTGCCGGCTGGCGACCCCAAGGGGGAGGGCCTTCTCTGTGGGAGCTCCCACCCTCTGGAATGAACTACCCCCAGAGATCAGGGTGATCCCTGATCTCCCTTCCTTCCGCTGCGCCCTTAAGACATGGCTATTCCAGCTTGCAGGACTGGCCTAGGGGAAAGTTTTTAATGGGGGTTTTAAAGTAATTTTAAATAAATTAGACCAATTATTAATATTTGTTTTTAATTATGTTTTAATCTGTAGTTTTGGGATTTGCATTTTTATCTGGTTGTTAGCCGCCCTGAGTCTGCAAGGAGAAGGGCGGGATATAAATATAAACAATAAATAAATAAATAAATAAATGCATAATAAAAATCATATTATTTCACTGGAAAACAACAGAGGGTAGATTTTGGAACTGTAATTATCCAGTTTAAAGTCGAGTACTTAATATAGATGCACCTCAAGTCTTGAGGCTCCAAGTGGCTGTTTACCATTAATCTGCAAATTTGCAGAGTTCAATAATGGGCTCAACAAACAATATTCTGAAAATCTATTTTTCCTTTCCTTTGAAATGACTTTTGGAACCTTCAATTTAATAATTTTATTATATCTTTGACGTATCTGGAAGTGTCCCAGTGACAGAAGAAATGCCTAGTACTCAAAAGATCAGTTTCCTATGTGGGAACTGATGCTCTCTTGTGTGAGAAGAATTTCATGAATCAAAATCTATTCCTGTTTGGCTTACCAGCCTTGACTTGACTCTTTTAGGAAGTTCTTCATCAAGTGTATACACATCATCCCTTTTTGCCATCAGCTGGGATCCATCTTCAAACTCCACCTAGAATAAGATCAATCGGGTGGCTGTCAGATGAATATAAGCATCAATTACTATTTCTCTGCCATGCAATTCAATACAGAATGTTTTTATGGAGTAAGATCCCAGCCAACTGACATGCAATTTCATGTACTCTACATCATGAAGGAGGTTGGCAGATCAGCTGCTAATAACAGAAGAGAATATCTAGAAACTAGTTTATATAGCCACAACTATAATACATGAGAATTAACACCACTTTATACAAATATTGATATATCAATCAATGTATCCTTTGGAACAGCCTAATTATATGTTATACAACCTTTAGGGATTTCAGAACTCCCAATCTACAAAGAGTTAAAAAGAGAGAAAATGAGAAGATCGATCCCATTCCTCTTACTTACCTGGTACATCTGGATGACATGAGAAGCCACAAATGTAGCTCCATAGACCTGGCCATCTGTCCATCTCACTTGAACAACTTCTCCTGGAGGTGGAGGACCAAGCTGGAGGCAATCTCGAGTCTGTCCATGTTAGAAAAAGTTTGAGAAATATAATCATCTACTGAATAGCAAACAGAAGAAACATTGCCTAAAATAATGGACCCTGGAGAAGCTTGACGATTGAGCCGACACATGGCAATGAGGAGACCAGAAAAGTGTCTGATTTTTACTAAGTACAATTCTGTTAACATCAGAGGAGGTAGTTGCAATGAGCTTAATCTTATAATCAGAATATTCCTGCCCTGAACAGATTACAAGATAAACAAAACTATCCTTGTTCTGCAACTACTCATTTATTATATACAAGAAGTAAAAATCTGGCAACAGAATAGAATCTTCATCTGGAATTATTTTTTTCTCTAACGAAAGAGTCTAAAAGGTACTGAAGAGAGGGAAGGAGAAAGGGAAGAGATTTCTAATTTAGGAATCAAATAATCTATGCTATATTTAGCTTTGCATTATGCAGCTCAAAAGTATTGTCCGGATGCTTTAGAGATTTGACCCACTTCAGCAATCGGGGACTTTATGTTTCCTAGAACTGTATATTTTCTGGTGCAATAATTTTTGTACTGCAAAGCATACCACAATATCTTCTGGATATAGGTTATCACTGAAGGAGCCATCATCAAAGTTGACCTCATAAAATGTTTCTTTTGTCAGATTGATCACTTCACATTGATAGAAACGTCCATTCTTGTGCTTGCTTATCACAGGCTGCCCCACAGCAAGATCCTGTAGACCGGCCTTAGCACGCTGAAGGAACAAAGGAGCTATAATCAATGTTATATTCAGAAGATAAAACTTGATGGTTTAACCACATAGAATACTTTGAAGGTTGTAGAAATGCAAATGCTTCCTATGCATTACCTGGAAAGCACGGAAAGATTATTTTTACATCACTTTTGCAAAGCTTTTAAAGATTTTTATTATGTCTTTATATTTTTACTGCTAATGCAAACTACAGTATATACCATCAACTTTTAATGAAGCTATAAATAGAAGGCTCAGTAATATTGACAATAGCAACAAGACTAGCAATTGCTTTGAGCAGAAAAACATTTTAATGAGGTACAAAGCAAGCATTTCCATAATATAGTGTGCATGTGTGGCCTCCTGAACACTTTTACTACTGTCTTTCCACTGCCTGACTACTGATTAAGTAGTGTCTCATTTACAAATGTTAAGCTGAACCGAATATTAAGCCTCTATTTACTTACTTCTGCTTGAGATGGAATTTTATGTCGAAAGCAGGTAATGAAGACTACAAACGGCCAGTCGTCTGGCTGCATCATGACTCCAGCTGCCTGGGCGCAGCTGACATGGAAAGATGTAGGACAGCGGCCATGAGAGCACTGCATGCAACAACCAGCGATTCTCTTCCGCCTCTTCTTACAGAAGACACATTTCTATGAAGATACAAGTTTAGCACTTCAATCAAGGTGAAGTTCCAAAGGTATCAGATGCTTAGACACCAAAAGACACACATGGGCCTGTCAAATTCAGATGCAGATTGGTTATCAGGTACTGAAATCACGAACTACGTCATGAGTTTTTATTTTCAGGAATTCTGACAAAACCTGCATTCCATGTATATTTCAATAGTACTTACAATCTGCTTCAATGGTCAGGCATTTTCTTTAAAATTAATACTACTACTGTGCAATCTTACGAAGAAGAAAAAAATGCACGCTATTTAGTTACTACATAATTACACAATACGTAATTATATTTCCCTGTAGATTCTTGTAGGAATTGTCTTTACTCATATACTAAAATATATGACTATATATGGGAAGCCTCTGTATGCTTCCTTTTGTTCATAGTATATTACAGCACATACATTGGGTAAAATCAAGGCCCTGGATGTTTTCGTAATTTCCTTTTCCTTTACGTAACGGGAGAGGCTTTGTCCTATCCTGTGTTATTTAACATCTATATGAAACTGTTGGAAGAAACTCTCCAAAATGTTATATAGGGTGAAGTCTCACTCTATCACTATTTTTCCCATGCATAATAAAATCATGCAATGGGATAACACGGGCCTTCTTTACTGAATTATTGTACAGACAGGCCATGTGCTCTATGTCAGGGGTGTCTAACTCAATTTCATTGAGGGCCACATCAGCATTGCGGTTGCCCTCAGGAGGCCGGGTCGGTGTGGCCAGGGTGGGTGCAGCCTACTGGGTGGGCGTGGATGGAGTGGGTGTGGCCTACTGGGTGGGTGTGGCCATCTCTACATCGTTTGCGTCAAGGGGGCCTGTGGGGGCCTGGGCAGGAGTGGGATAGATCTGAGGGTCTCTGGCAGAAGGGGGTGGGACCGGGGCAAGTGCCAAGGCATGGTCCACTGGAGGAGTCTCACTGTTCCTCTCAGGCCATGCGGGGGGGAGGCTTATGGAGCTAAGACTGAATGCGTTTCAGCATAGAGGGCCACCACAAAATTGTACATTGGCTCCCGGCTGGCCTGGGCCAGGGCCAAGGCAGAGGGGGCCGTTCTCTCACTGTTTCCAGGATGTTTCGTGGGCTACATGAAACCACTTTGCGGGCCGCATCTGGCCCCCGGGCCTTGTGTTTGACCTGTCTGCTCTACGCTATTAATGTACAGGTACTCAATTCTACAAGTAATTGCTAAGTTACGCTCCTTATTATACTGCATACAACGACTTTTCTGAATCTGTCACCTTCCAGATATGCTGGGCTCCAACTTCCATAATTTTGGACACCATGACCTTTTCCCCCACAGTCTTAAAATAATAGTTTTGTCCAATACGTTTGAGTGGGAACAAGTGGGTAAAAGCTATGTACAATCATCCAAAATTCCACCACTTGCATTATCACAAATTATCTAATCTGAAAAGATATTTCCTATGTTCTCTGGGTTCTGATTTAAGAATCTCATAAAAGCATAGAATAAACATGCATTAATCAATTCAAAGTACTGTTTATTTTCTTACCAGTCGGAAGCGTTGCAGTGGGATTTTGCTGACATCAACTGGACTACGCTGGGCAATGTTTATAAATTTGGCCTCCAGAACTGCCACAGCACACATAACATGTACCCACCTGAGAAAAATCAGAAGTCTACTTAAGTATTTAGTAAATGTTTGTTAAAAATTGGCTGCAGGATATGGATAACCAAAACTGATATTGGTAAAACAGCTCAAAAACAATATGATCTCCCCAACTCTCAATACAGCTGCATAAAGTATTTGAAAAAAGTGCTTTGCAAAAACATTCAGCACAAAAACAGCCACATACTCTGGAAGGCTGTATGCATGAACAGATAATAGACTATCGGCAATGTGGCTATCTATGCACACAGTCTTTGCAGCAGTTTATGAAGACTATATAGAACGTGGTTGCTTTAAGTATCTGAGGAGGGGATTTTTTGCTTGCAACAGTAGGCTTTGCAAAACATCTCAGATGAATACAGTACTTTACACAACTAGCATTGCATCAGACCAGGGGAACATCACTAAATTTTTGCTTAGTATGAGTTGATGTCTATTAGTCCAGGGGTCTTCCATACTTAATTATCACAAAAACTCACTTGTTATCATTGGCTTTTTGAAGTGCACCTCCACGAAGTGAGCATAAGCAGCAATCCTGATAGACAAAAGAAAATTGCATTTACTTATTTGTACGTATTTGTATACTGCTTTTATTATTTTTACATATTTTTACTCAAGGCAGCAGACATATCCAACACACCTTCCTCCTCTTATTTTCCCCACAAGAACTACCCTGTGAGGTGAGTTGGGCTGAGAGAAAGTGCCTGCCCCAAAGTGACCTAGATGGCTTTCATAGCTAAGGTAGGACTAGAACACATGGACTCCGGCTTTCTAGCCTGGTGTCTTAATCACTAGACCAAGCTAGCTTTCATGTTATTGAAATCACACCAATTAATACTGTACTATTATAGCACTACATTTTATACTATTTTTCTGAAATACAGAAATATTCTGCAATGAGAACTATACAAGTTAAATAATTATTCTATGCATTAATTGTTTTTGTCTTACAGAAGATCTCATAGAAGAAACTAAGCTAGTTCTATAGGAAATGAAAGACTAGTGCTAGGTAGAATGCATTTTATTAAGTCCTGTTAGGGATGCACAAAGCAGAAAACTATCCAGACCAGTGATGGCGAACCTGTTAGAGACTGAATGCCCAAACTGCAACCCAAAACCCACTTATGCATCGTTGAGTGCCAGGTGGGTGTGGGCCATTGGCTGGGTGTGGCCAATTGGGTGGGCATGGCTGCAGTGGTAACGGCAGACTGGGTGGGATCAAAAAGTTCAACCAATCAATTCCAACTTTGCAAGAACTTTTTTCCCCCGCGAGAAGTTGAAATTGACTGATTGAACCTTTTTTTTTTTTTTTGCACATGGCGGTGGAGGCCTAAAGCGAAAAGGTTTTATAAAACCCAGCTGAAGGCCTAGGACTGGGGCGACGACGCGCGTGCCCAGAGTGAGGGCTCTGAGTGCCGCCTCTGGCACCCGTGCCATAGGTTCGCCACCACTGATCCAGACCTATGCGGAAGTGATGTAGGACATGTCTTACTTAGATGATTGTTCAAAAGCCTATTCTATCCTATGTAGCAAGGTGATACTTCACCAATCATGCATGACAGCAGAGTTGCACATCAATGTCTGCACCAAATGAGCCAAATATACCTGCAAAACATCATCTCCTAGTAGTATTCCATTCCCTAAAGTGTCTAAAACAATGATAAACATTTTTTTAAAATAAAAAGTAATCTCATTATCTGCGTAAATGTTTGATTCAGAAGAGATTCAGGGAAGCTACCTCCAGTAGGGATTGCTAATTAAGCCAGCTTGAAGAGGAGGTTTTGGTATCTCAGGACTAGATTCTGGAATACTGATGAATACATTTAATAATGGATGATACTGAATCAACCACACTATTCATTTAAAATATTCCATGAAGTAATGTCGCATCAGAAGCTAGATCTTCTTTTAGAGTCATAGCAATTTTATACTAGTGTGTAGTAATATGGAGTAATTGTGAACAGATTTGGATTATTCTGTGTTTATTTCCTAGATTAGCTTTGGGAAGTCCTGGGGGGGGGGAGGGGGGAAAAGGGTAGGTTTGTATTATAGATTTATATGTATGATTTTTTTTTTTTAAGGAGGTGATACCCCAACTGCACAGGACGGGATGGTTGAGAGTGGAAGGGAAGTAGGAAAGAGGGAGGAAGGAGGAGTGGTGGTAGAATGAGAGGAGGAAGGAGTGGTAAGTGGAAGAGGGTGGTGCGGGAGGGGTACACTGGACACGTCTGTGAATGTTTTGTTAAGTTTTATTCTTTTTGATTGTTATTGTGATAAAAGATTTATGTTTATGTTTTTTTAAATGGAAAATAATAAAAAATTTAAATACAAAAAAAAAAAGAAGCTAGATCTTCTTTCTATTTTAATGAAATTCTTTCATACAAATAAATCTATATCAATAACCATCTCACAACTGCAAACTTTCTAATGCTGCTCATGCATGAAAACAAAAGAATTTTAGTAGACACTGACATACCTCTTCCAAAGCATTGGCTTTGCATCTGGAGCATTTCCAATCTTCAGTTGCCTTCTCTGGGGCTACTCCATAACAACCTATAATAAAAATAAAAATTAGAAGGTTTGTAGGCTAAGCAAAAAAAATCAGCAATGTTTCAATTTTCATATCCCTTTTTATTTTAACAAATATTAATAATGAATTTATGTCCACAAAATAAGTTTGACCAGTCTTGGAAGACCCAAAGAAACAATGGTACAGAATATGACCTTAAGCATTATATCATCCACTTGAAACATACTAACAAAAAAGCAATACTGATCTATCCATAACCTGATCTCTCATTTAAAAAATAAATTTCAAACCTCAAGCCATAAAAATGGGCACGATGGGTCAAATCTATCTCTGGGCTCTGTCAATTCAATGAATTTTACAAGAGAAAAAAATAATTGTTATTATAAATTAACTCGACGTTAACTATTACAGTGTTTTGGGTCTTTGAATTTCTTTTACTGCTTTAAAGTATTAGTGATATCCAAAGCATTAGGAAAGGAACTCATCCAAGCTGCTTAGTAACTGGTATTCCAATGAGATTTTCCCCTCTGTTTACTTATATTGTGGGCTAGTTTTCCAGTGACAGCATCTTAATCTTCATATAGCATGAAAAATACAGTGGTACCTTGGTACTCGACTGCGTTGAAACTCATCAAATTTGGTAACACATTTTGACACAAAAGTTTTGTCCCAGTACTCATGATTTGTTTGGCACTCAACATACAAGCTAGAACTTGTCGTTGTCAGTTGCCTTGTGACTTATTACATTACTCCTTGTGGGAAAAATTTGTCTGGTACTCATCAGTTTTGGTACTCACTACGCCTTCCAGAACCAATTAATGTTGAGTACTGAGGTACCACCGTATCTGGAAGGACATATTTTGTGTTTATTGCACTTTAATTGTAGTTTTCACCCATGGTATTTTCAGATCATTTTGTTCATATGAATCGGGTGGACATTAAAGTGCAATTCCTCAACTTTTTTCTGTGCTCTTCCTTACAGGTAAAAATAACCAGGCATAAGCTGCCCATACTTACATTGCTTCTTTATAAACTATGGGAAAATGGAGGGGTAAATAGTAATATTTTATTTGGGGAGTCAATGGACAATCAGACCTAAATTATACAGTACTCACTGGCATGGACCCGGACCTGACAGTGATTGCATGTGATCAGAATACTGGTCCCATCTTCCTCCAGATATGGGGTAGAGAGATTGACATCTGTGCTACAGCCAGTGGTAGTAAAACACATCTCAGGGATGAGGGGCTTAGTTCTCATCTTTCCATTAGCAGCATTTGGAACTGCTTGTAAGCTCTGACTTCCACAATCTGCCTGCCAATGAGAAATTACACATTTTAGAAAAGAACAGCAACACAGAAATAAAAAGAAATATATGATCAGGAAAGCATTCCATTTTTGTTTGCATACTGAAAGAATTGAACTAAATATTATTTCACTATGTTATGCTCAAGGTAGAATGATTCCAAATTAAGTATGATATTTTTCCTTCCAAAGAGATAAATATTTCTGCCAAACAAATAATCAATAGGTCATTTTTTCATGTCAGAATAAGGAAAAAAATTACGTTTGACAAAATTGATATAAAATAATCCAAATCTTCAAAGATAAATTACATACTATGTTCATCTCAGGCACATTTCTGCAAATATGATTCCAGCCCTAAGATTTTTTTTTTAATTATTAAATAGGTTATTCCCAATATAAAAGTTCATCAAAAATAGTCTGGATTTGTTTTAAGATTTCCTTGTTCTATTGAAGTAAGAACTAAAAACAAATTATAAATTCTTTAACTGTTTTAAACAAGCAATTAAAATACCACTAAACAGTTTCTGTGTTGTGCTATTTAGTGAGGGAAAAATGGATCAGTAATAAAGAATGTAAGAAGCAGAATACATTTGTTTATAGAAAATATATTTGAGTCAGTTAAGTATATAGATACTTTTTGAAAAACTATTAACACCTTAACCACCATGGACCATTCCCATCTGAGATGACTGTGACAACTACTATACCACACAGCATCCATTATTACCAGACAGTTTCCCATCTATGTATTAACCAGGCTTAATCTTGTTTAGCTTCTATAATCAGGTACTAGAATATGTATATGGTTTATTTTTTAAGAAACTATGCACTTGTTAGAGTAACGTGACAGATGCTGTAGAAAATCAGTCCCACTTACTATGGAAACATTGGAACCAGGATTATACTAGCAATAATCAGTCTGAAAACACACAAACCACATTCTATCAGTGCTTCTGTACTATATAGGCCAGGAGAAAGAATCATCTACTTACCTGGTAGGTTTGAAAGAGCATGCACACTGCACAATAGGGGGCCTGCTGAGCCATGGCAATATTATACTCCTTTTCCGCTTCAAAGTTTGGAGGACGATTCTGCCACAGTTGGCTGAGAGGTTTGGCCCATGCTTCCATCTCTTCAGTTTCTTCTTCAGGTGTTAACTGCTCCGACATTTCTGCAGTAAGAATCACAGCGTCAGTCAAAATTTAGATAAATCATTTCCTCTTTTCTCCAGGCTGTCAAAAAGAATAACAGACTTAAACTACGGGCAATACAATAATGTTCCTCACTTTTCAGCCATGCCTGCCAATGTTTTCTTTGTCTTTATTAGCAACCTTTACAAATGCTGCCTTTTACAGTGTACAAAAGTTCAGCTCCACACATGGCTGCTAAGCCCATGCAGTGAGGGGAAAAAAATTATCTGATCCCCTGCTGATTTTGTACGTTTGCCCACTGACAAAAGAAACGATCAGTCTATAATTGTAATGGTAGGTTTATTTTAACAGTGAGAGGCAGAGTAACAATAAAAAAATTCAGAAAAACGCATTTCAAAAAAGTTATAAATTGATTTGCATTTTAATGAGTGAAATAAGTATTTGTGTCCCACTCCTCTTTGCAGATCCTCTCCAAGTCATTAAGGTTTTGAGGCTGACGTCTGGCAGCTCAAACCTTCAGCTTTCTTCACAGATTTTCTATGGGATTAAGGTCTGTAGACTGGCTAGGCCACTCCAGGACCTTAATTGTCAAGGCGTCCTCTTTGGTGCCCAAGAAAGAGCCGACAAACAGGAACGATCGACAAACGGTTGGCGTTTTAATCCATACAGTAATAAAGTTAGCACTGGGAGTGAGTTGCTCCCAGTGCTTTACATAGGTTCCGCGCGCTACTCCCACCCCCCACCCCACAAGCCAGCATCCGGCCTGTGGGGAACAAAACCAATCAACAGGGGCAACACCCCCCCATTCCGGTCGGTGCGCACTCCAGCCCGGCTATGGCATTCCAGGAAGCACAGCAAGGTGAGCTCCTTTTCCCCCGTTGCCGTCTCCCGTCGCACGCTCCTTCCCCTCTTATGTCTTGGCCGCCTGGCTGTCTGGACCGGCAAGGCGGTGGTCCGTGGGCTTCGCTCACTACACCGGGGTTCTTCCATTGGACTGGCAAGACGCTGGTCCGTGGGCGTTGCCCATTACCGGTAGCTGCAGTAACATCCCCGTGCGGCTGGAAGTCGGCAAAGTTCCCCGGCCCTCGGCTGAGAGCAGCCCACAGCGCGGCGACGGACCCCGGCATCCGTTGGCCACGTATCGTTCCGGCCTGCGCCCGTCAGCTAAGAGGAGGGTTGGCGGGAACAGCAGTGGCGGGGCAGGCGGGGTCCCTTCCTGCCGGCAAGTGTTGACCCCGCGGGGCATTCAGCGACGGTCCCGGCCATGGCGAAGGCCTACAGGGCGGCGGCGGTGCAGTAACCCGCTTCCCATCCACCCGTACATGTTGGCTCTGCGGGGCTCGACAAATGTGCTTCTTTGTCAGTGGGCAAACGTACAAAATCAGCAGGGGATCAAATAATTTTTCCCTCACTGTATATTTTGTGAAACCATTAATTTGGAAATAATACACAACCTCACAATTATAAAACCATGTTTTAAATATGTGCTCTCTTTCTTTTGCCTCAGAGATCAAAGTGCTGTATTTGATCCTAACTCGATAGCTGAAAATTCAGCATCAAAATATATCAAGTTCATACAGCCAAGTATACAACCTTCAAAAATTGTGAATCAGACTGTGATTAATGTATTTAGGTATATGTTGTACAAAATGCAAGAGATTGCTTTAAAAATGTAAAGGATGAATTGAGACATTAAAAAATGCTTATTGCTACAGGTTGTCCTTGACTTACAATCATTCATTTAGTAACCTTTCAAAGCTACAATGGCACTATTGCAGCATCCCTATAGTCACATGATAAAAATTTAAATGCTTGGCAATTGGCATGTATCTATGATGGCTGCAATATTCCAGGGTCATGCGATCACCTTTTGCAAACTTCTGACAAGTAAAGTCAATGGGGAAGCCAGATTCACTTAACAACCGTGTTACTACCTTAACAACTGCAGTGATTTACTTAACAGCTATGGTAAGAAAGTTCATAAAATGGGGCAAAATTCACAACTGTCTTGCTTAGCAACAGAAATCTTCAGCTCAATTGTAGTTGTAAGTCAAGGACTAGCTGTAATTCAGCATCACTATCAGGCAAATACCTCTATTACAAAAAAAGGAAGAAATTTAGAACTTACCATCATCACTAAGGCTATCTTTAACCAACAATGGGTGATGACGTGGGAGTTTGGTCAAGGGCTGGCGACGTCCTTTTGACTTCTTATGATCCTTTACAGATCTGATGTACTCCTTTGCCATCTGCAGAAATCAGACCGGATCAGAGACAGCTTGGTCTAGTGGTTAAGGCAACAGGCTAGAAAGCAGGAGACCATCAGTTCAAGCCCCATCTTAACCATGAAAGACAGCTAGATGACTTTGGGCTAGTCAATCTCTCTCAGCCCAACCCACCTCACAGGGTTGTTGTTGTGTGGTAAATAGGAAGAGGATGGTATGCTAGATATGTCCCCGCCTTGAGTTATTTGTAAAAATAATAAAAGTGGGATACAAATAAATATATAAATAAAACCAGTATCCATAACCTTATAGCAGTATAGTAGTAATCAGTTTTTTCAACAAAGTATCTACTGGATGGATTCAAAAACTGAAAAATTACTTATACTTTCTGCACTGTTTAAGCTCCAAGGTATGCAAGATGTGTACTATGGATAAAATAGTGTATTTCAGAACGCAGAACTACATTGACAATGGATTTATTTGATATCTAATGCGGCAAATAGAGTCCTAGAGATATTCTTTGCAAACTGCACATCAGCTGATAATGTCAGAAAATGAAAATTAAATAGAAGATTAGAAATTATAATATTCTACGATAAGTGTGTATTAAGAACTCATCCTATATATCGCTTTACCATTAAAATGTGTCTGAAGCATGTTATACAAGATAGATTGCAGGTATACCCTCTGATGGAATCTTACTTTTGCAAGCTCCTGTTCATCCACACGAGCTGTGGAACTGGTTTTCTTCCGGGAAGGCTGTTCTATCTCGATGACATTCATCTCTTCCTTAGCATAACTATGAACTGTGAGAACTTCAGTTTGGTCAACCAACTGCCTGGAAAGATCAGGGGGTTCAGAATCTGAAGAGCCAGAACAAAAAGAAGAGCTAGACTGAAGGCTGGACACTGGGCTTGGTTTCATAGTAGATTGGGTCAAAACTGAAGACACAGAATGTGAAATGGAAAGATCTAAAACAGCTGCTTCTGGTTCCTCTTCTTCTTCCTCCTCCTCCTCCTCCTCATCATCATCATCGTCATCTAGTTTAACATTTTTCAGTTCTTCAAATTTTACTTCAGAGGAATCTGCATATTCTGCATCAAAAACAATATTTGAAATATTATTTAGTAACTGCCACCAAATAAAATGCTCTAATTTATTAAAGCCTAAAAAATAATCTGAAACTAGGGCTTCAAGATGTGAACTATTAAATGGCCCAGTCTAGCTAGAAGTTTAATATATATTTTTTAGAAAAATACTCCTATAATTTGAATTTCCTCTAGAACTTCATTAACACATAACACAATATCATACCTTTAAATTCTCACTAACCAGGCATTTTGTCAATTTTTAGAATTTTTGTTATCAATTTATTTGTCCCAACTCTGCTCTTTGGTGCTGTATTCTTTTTCTGAGACATATTTCCAAATCTTTTCAAGTTTAAGAAAACAATATAAATTAAACATAGTCTAATGATTTCATATTTTATGTCATAATTGAAAGTCTTGTGAACAATATTTGGATAAATGTGTCCAACCCTGGAGGCTACTTTTCAATTTTTGAATTTCTTCTATGTTTTACTGACACAATTCTATTAGTTCCTTATTTTATGTTGCTAAAGTAAAAGAACATAACTTTTAAAAATTTATCTGAGATCTCTGCAGATGGCCCCCGTTTCTTCAACATACCCTTCATATTCCTAATGAGGCATTACCATCAGTTTTCAACTTGATGTTTTGCTCTCAATGTTTTTATGTCTGTTGAAAGCAGAAGTTGGGTTCATGCATCACACGAAACCTCATTTAGATTGGCTACATTCAGACAACAAATTAGGCCAATACTAAACAAATGTCATTATGGCTAGGCCCAGGGGTAGGCAACCTTGGCTCTTTTATGACTCGTGGACTTCAACTCCCAGAATTCCTGAGCCAGCATGGCTGGCTCAGGAATTCTGGGAGTTGAAGTCCACGAGTCATAAAAGAGCCAAGGTTGCCTACCCCTGGGCTAGGCCATAGTAAAGTTCCAATGAGATTGGCCACCATGAACAGTAGCATCCAAGAAGTTACCTGGAGGTGCAAGCCCTTCATCCCCTTGCTGTACAGGCTCTCTAGCAGGTCCAACTGGAGGGGCTGCTTCCTCCATCTCAAATTGCACTGGGAGCATTTCCTCCTTGGGAAAGGACTCGCTTTGGCTCACCTCATGAGGAACTTCTAAGCAGACTCGGTGCCGCTTGCTTCCAATGCGATGCTTTGGGACACTGCAAGAAGAAATAAACATGTCATCTTTTAAATCAAGCATGTCCAACCCGCAGCCTATGGGCTGCATGCAACCCTAGACAGCTGGAAATCCAGCCCTACAAGATTGTAAACTTCAAACATTATTACATGATTTATTTACACATTTATATACATTAATCCTATTATATATTTTATATGCGTCTGAAGATAATTCCTCTTAGTTCAATGCACCCCAGGCAAGTTGCCCATCTTTTATACAGAACTCAACACAACTTTAATATCAGATTGTTCTCTCTGAAAAATCGGTTGATTTTATAACTTTTCTGAAGTACTTGAGAAAGCACAGCTCTAAAAAGAAATATTTACCACTAGGAAGAAAAAATATTTGACGTTAGTTTATCAAAAGATGATAGAATACACAAGCTTTCAAATTCACATTAATACTTGAAACTGGTTTCTTCTCAGTTGTAAGAAATCCCATTTAAGGATTCAAGTAAAACGCACTTACTATGAGATAACAGATATTTTAAATTCAAAGTATCTGTCATTAATATAAATTTACAACAGGTCAGAAGACAGTTACAAGAGAATCTAGGAAGATATTTTATTTAACTTAAGGCAACTCAGAAATTCCTTTGAAATGCTTTCTCCAATTCTTTGGTCGACAGTCTGGTTCCAACCATTAATTTCTGTTCATATTTCACAGCCTCCAGAGAACTGAAAATCACACACCCATTTTCTAAAACTTACTGAATTTGGTTATTAAACAACTCAAGGAGAAAGGGAGAAGAAACAAGTCCCAATGTCATTGGTAGCCACTTAACATGGAAAATAGAAGAAGCTCCATAGATGCAACTGATTAGTAACACTGGCTAAGTCATGATGTATGAAAAAAAAAGCAAGCATACTTTTTTCTCTCCATATCTTCATCTGCTTTGCATTCTTCCTCTGTTTCAGTTTCTTCAGGGCACTGCTTCTCATTCTTAACTTTTTGAAGGAATTCGCCCTTAAAGAAGAACTCAGTTGCTTCTGGTGTGGGAAGAGTATGATCAATGGCTGTCACATCTTTCCCAGCTTTCCAGAGCTTGTAACGATCAGGCTGATATTTCCTCACAAAGACATCCATGGAGATTTTGACCATGTCCTTTCGGCATGAGCACTGCATGGAATAACAAAACAGCTGAGGCCACTTATGTTTTCGTTTCAATTCAGTATTAAGTTCACTCTGCAACTATGCCTCCTTATAAGAGAATTATACCATTTCCTAGTAAGAATGAATGGTGACCTCAAAGATTGGAGGCTAAAAGTAATTACCTGGAAAAAGGGAGAGGAGAACAAAATAACAGGTATTTAATATTTATTTGATATCACCATATATATCTGTTGTGAGCTTTCTTTCTGACAAAGCATTTGTTGTTGTACTGAGTACTTTGAAATATTAATAAATAAATAAAACAACAGTGCACAGAATGGCCTCTAGAAAGCTGAGGCTGCAGCTATATATCTGAAGCAGACATGAACCTGATGAGTCAACAGAACAAACATTAATCATTAAAAACAGGATATAGGAAAGCTAACATATCTGAAAAATATGAGAACTAAACAAGTATTATTATCTGATTTCCATTTCACAAGCTTTGTTTATATATCTAATGAAAAAAGTATCTTGAGAACTGTGCAAACAGGCATATCTTATCCTTAACTAAATATTTATACCTGGCACCGTGACATTTATATCAAAAACAGTAGTCCTATGTAACTAATTAGAGTGTTCTACATTTCTCCATCTGAAATCTTTCTTTCTTAAACTGTCTTAGAGGCTTTATTTGTATGAATTATTACATTTTTATGGATGTCCAAAGTTAAAACGGCCAGACCTACTTCATAGCGCATGTTTAGCAGCAAAAAATTGTTAATAAGATGCATTCCATCAACCACAAAATATTAAATTGATAAATGTTAATCTATAATTCTGTTTGATAAACATTTAGGAATAAGTAACAATTCTTACCAAAACAGACTGCTTTCCATACTCAATCCAACGAAGTGTGGCAAAATTAGTAGATTCAGCACAGTTGAAGCCATGATTAAAACCAGCATGATATCCATAAGGAAAAGTTATCATGAATTCACCTGCTTCCTGAGTCACCTGAAAGAGAATCAATCAGTATGGATTTCTATAGTTTATATAATCTCTAAAATTCATTTGATATTTTTCAGTACTACTAAGCTGGAAAGAGCCCATATTTCTAGCTTTTTCTAAGAATTATTTAATGAAAATATACCCTAGCAAAGTAAAAAATTGTATCCTTGGAATTTATGGATGTGAATTTATTCACATTTATGGATTATGTGAATTTATTCACATAAATTGTGTGAAAAAAGTATACACAGAGAATATTCTCAGTGTGAAGAATGACATGATTCCTGTTTTTTTTTAATTCTATTTCTCTGTCCCCACATGCTCAGTTCTGATTGGCCTTTTCAGAGTGCTCCCCACACTCAAGCTGCTTTTTCTAAACATGTTTTGATCACCTGTAAAAATAGGAGGGGTTCTCCTAAGTCTCCTGATTACCTCCCTACTGTGTGCAACTATTGCAAACTTAAGAGAGGTGAAAAGAAATTATAGGATGTTTTCTCATGTGGCCTTTTTATTTTCACTTCCTATAATCTTATGAGACTCTCTGCCTTCCTAGATTTCTGTAAAATGCCATCAGTTTTTTCTTACTTTGTCAAATGGGATGCCATATTTCTTCAATATTGATGGTGAGATCAAGGTCATTTTGTGACGGAGAAAAGCTTCACAACTCTGAGCACTTCCAGGAAAGAATCCTATTTAAGAAACAGATATTCAGCAAGTATTGTTGAAAAGGGTTGCTCATACAACATTCATTGGATGCAGGATTGAATAATATGGTATGGCTCTTTCCAAGGATGACAATGTATGAAAGACAAAGTAACCACAAAACCTAGAGGCAACTTTCAGACAAAAGTTCCAAATGGAGAAAAGAGAGGTACACTTTTCTTATCCCCTCTTGACACATAATGAAGCATCAGAGGCTTTTATTTATTTATTTTAGAAAGTCTTCGTTAGTTTTTTCACATGTAGAGAGAACTTTAAGAAAGTTACTTTCTGAAATTCAGTATTATATTTGTTGGACTTTTATAAATAAAATGAAATGTTCCAATATCTCAGGGATTGCCACAAAGAAGAGGGGGTAAAGCTATTCTCCAAAGCACCTGAGGGCAGGACGAGAAGCAATGGGTGGAAACTGATCAAGGAGAGAAGCAACCTAGAACTAAAGAGAAATTTCCTGACAGTTACAACAATTAATCAGTGGAACAACCTGCCTCCAGAAGTTGTGAATGCTCCAACACTGGAAGTTTTTAAGAAGAGACTGGATAACCATTTGTCTGAAATGGTATAGGGTTTCCTGCCTGAGCCGGGGGTTGGACTAGATGACCTCCAAGGTACCTTCCAACATTATTATTATTGTATAAGATTTCCATAATTTTTCTAAATTGTTGCTATTATATTACACATAGTCCTTGACCTATGACCACAATTGGGACCAGAATTTCAATTGCTATGCAAGACAACTGTTAAGTGAGTCATGCCCAATTTTATGACTTTTGGGGCATGATTGTTAAGTGAATCACACAATTATTAAGAGAATCTAATCCTAAACTGACTTTACTACAGATAGTCCTTGATTTATGCCCATTCATTTAGTGACTGAAGTTACAAAGACACTGAAAAAAGAGATTTAAGACCAGTTCTCGCTCTTACAATTGTTACAGCATCCCCGTGGTCTTATGACTAAAAATTTGGACACTTGGCACCAGAATATGTTTACAAAGTTGCAGTATCCCGGGGACACATGATTGCCCTTTGCAATTTTTCCAGGGGTCTTCTGACAAGCAAAATCAATGGGAGACCCCTGGAAAAATTGCAAAGGGCAATCATACTGCAACTTTGTAAACATATTCTGGTGCCAAGTGTCCAAATTTTGGTCATAAGACCACGGGGATGCTGTAACAATTGTAAGAGCGAGAACTGGTCTTAAATCTCTTTTTTCAGTGTCTTTGTAACTTCAATCACTAAATGAATGGTTATAAATCAAGCACTATCTGTAGTAAAGTCAGATTAGTATTACAATTAAGTTAAAAATTAAAAAAAACACAGCTGTCATTGTTCTTTAAGAGGCAATCAACTATACAGACTCATTTAGAGAGAGAGGATGTTTACCTTTAGCAAGACGCTCCAACCGCTTCCCATGCTCTGGAGGAATAGAGTACCTATGGTAGCACGTAAACAAATTACAAATATATTCACACAAAAAAGATGTTTTAGGCTTATATTATATAACAATGCTGATATATAAGCAAATTTAATCATTTCCCATCTTCATCATTATTCCTACACTGAGAAAATGTTAAATATGACCCTCAATTAAAAATGAATGCACATCTTGATATATACACACCCGTACACACACACACACTGACACAGAATATCTCACCAGGACTTGGGTTCTCCAAAATGCAGATAATTTATACTGTACAGGTCCATGTCCTCCGTGTGCCAGGCAAAGGAAGTTTTCCACATCCCAAAGTAGAGATAAGGCGTATTCACTCCCTCAATGGTAATACCACTTTCATTTTCTACTATATCCAGAATTGTATTCAGATGACCAATATTCCACTCAGTTATATGCTAAAAAGATTAAACACAGGTTTTTTCAAAAAAGCAGTAAGCTAATAACATATATTCCAATATCTGTATAAAAAATTCACTTTGAGGGTACTCAAATAATTTTATGAATATTGTAGATTAATTTTGCTTCATATATTCTATCCATGTACACATTACATATACATATTTCAATTTTCAGGGGTCAATCTAGGAAATTCAATAACATTAATGCTGAAAATGTAGATGAATCTTGAATCCATGCGAAAGACAAGTTAACATCAGCTAACAGATACGGAAGCTATTATGTCTCATTACTCCTTTTACCTTGTCATAGAGTGTGCCATTAACATCTGCCCCATAGATGGGAGCATTGAAAGTGAGATTCTTCCAGTACTTGCGTTCAAGATCTTCAAAATCTGTATACCGAGGAGTAAAGTACCTAAGGGAGCACAGGTTGACTGTCTTAATATAACTTGTCCATTTACTTTATTCACTGACAAATGTCATGAGTTATCACCAATTTTAAATAACATATTACTGTAGACAAGCATCCTGGAAATCAGAATTTAAGAAGATAGTCATGCACAAACATCCTAGATGAAAGAGCCAGAGTCAACTTCTCTATCATTTAATATTTGTAATACAATTAACTAAGATTTCAATCGAATCATGCTCAAAGGCTGAAACTGTTCACATATAAAGATGCTGTAACTTCTACCAATATTATTTCATTCTCTTGGTTTTAGTTAAGGCGGATAGCAGAAATAGGTGTCACATCAGCAGTATGTTATGGTTCCAGCTAATGAAACACTTCAAAGAACTTCCAGGCATTGATTTCCCTGCAAATACTGTATATTCTTGCTTTGACACAGTATCTTACAGAATCTTCTGACAGAAATGCATTTAAGAAACTAGGTTTTGATCTAGAAACTACCACACAAATACGGAGCTTGTCAGAGATGAGCCATTCAAATACAGTATTTGCTATTGAAATAGTGCAGTCCATTCATAAGAAATTTTTTTGGAGCTGTAAGAGTAAGGTACAGAAGCAAGTATTCTCAAGAAATTATATTCCAATTTGAAATACACTTATGCCAGATACTGGCAGGGACTTTGTTAAATTAAGATGCTTTTAGATTTGAACCATTACAAACTTATATTACCTATATAAATACATACATATAAATACATATATTTAGAGTCTTTCAAGTTTAGATCATCTTTTCTTACTTGTCGCTATTTGCTATCCTCCTGAATTCTCGGACTGTCATAGGTTTCTTCTGGATGTTATACTGAGTGAAGAGGCCTGACTGGCCAGTAACCACTTGCTGAATGGGAGCAGGGATGACCAGATCATCAATATCATCATACCATGTGCGTGGCTTCCATTCCTTAGGAGGAACAATCTAGAAAATGTAATTTTTATATGAGTAATTAACTGGAAAACTACAAGAATAGAACAAAGGTTATATAATAATACTTCAAATAGACTGACTCTTCAACTATACACAGTAGCAGGATTATCCTTCAGCATCATACAGTAGTAATCCACATGCAACGCTATTAATGCTCTTGACTATAAGTTGGCATTTTATAAAATTTTATAAAATTAAGCACATGGTAAATTAATATTCATAATCAAGAAATCTGTTTCAAATCATTACCATGTATTCGGCTCAGTGATTAGAGGCATATATGCCAAAATGACTCCTGATTTACTGAAGATTCCAAATTAATAAACACAAAGGAAAATGCCTACTTAAATGGTACATGATCTTTCTATTGCAAACAATAAGGATGTGCAAATCCTTTGAAAGCAATGTCTCACAATGTGTCAGTGTTAAGTGTTTTCTTATATCTTTGAAACAAGAAAGCACCCAAGGCAGGCTTTGCTTACTGGCTACACATACACATGCTGCTTATTGAAAAACATGCAGCTGCTTTATTGATTCAACAGAGATGCCTTGCATATGCTACTTCATGTTGTGAAGCCCAACTTTCAACAGATTGGCACAGACCTAAGGAACAATATTACTGCAGTTTTCTTTTTAGAATTCTGCATATCCAAAGTAATAAATCAGTTTGTTTAGGAATTAATCATCATGATAGTGCATACCACAGAAATAAAAGTTGTAAAATAGTTACATGGGTCTCCCAGAAACATTTAGGTTTGATTTCAAATCCTATATCAAACCTTCAAACGATTCTGTCTGCAGCCATCTTTACTTTGTTTTCGGTTGCCACAGCCATGGAGGGGGGAGATGTGTTCTTTTAGTTTAGCCATAACAAATACTTTCTTGTGGGAACCAAGGTCAAGATGCCTAAGTTTTGGCAGGCTGGAGATACTGTTAGAAAGCCCGCCAAAGTAGTTAATTGGGGTAGGGAGTTCAACTTTTACTTTGTAACCTTTGGGGGGGGGTGGGAACTTTCGGTCTTGGGTTCACCTTTGTTTATGCCGATACTATGTGGCCATTAAAAATATTCTTTGATGAAGCAATTGCCTCAAGAGTTCTTATTTCTACTGGTCTCATCAATCGGAACCATGACATCCTATGTCAAATAATTAGTTAAAATAATGTGCAAGAAAAGAAAAATCTAGAACTTCAGAATTTTCATTAAATGTTTGATTTTTTCCCAGCAAAAATGAATACTATTTCCTCATCAATGGGATCCAATAAAATCTTGCCATGAAACAACTTGCTCATTTGTATGCTGAGATTACCCATCAAATACGTTATATATTTCTGAATCAAATTTAATTATACTAAATATGGATGAATAAATTGCAGCATTATCATCATTGTTCCCAGCCCTTCTTACCTTTGCCAGTCCAGCTCTATGGGCTCCTTGAGACTCTATATAGGCAACATAACGGCTGAAATTTTTAAATTCTTCCATAGTTGGACGGAATGTCATTATTCTGGCACTTGGATTTAGGTTCTCCAATTCGGACCCCATGTTTTTTTTTCACACTCTTTCTTCTCATATGTGAACCAGAACTAGTGCACTAATACAAATAATTATAACAATTACAAATTAATCAGTATTATCCAGAGTTATTGAGCGTACAATAAAAAATGAGGAATAGCATCAAAATATGTTCACTGCTGTCCTAATTAAAACTATATCAAATCCAACCCATCTCAATTTTTATTGTAATTATTTTACACCTTTATACTCCTAAATATCAATTTCACATTCAGATTTACAGAAGAAGCCAGGTAAAGTACATGTACCAATTTTATTATTTGATAAAAATGCCTCAACCTTAAATAACAGAAATAATTTGAAACTAGTTACAGAACAAGCAGTCTCAATAGCTGTTGACAAATCAAAACCCGCCAATGTAAACTTCTCTTGATAAAAAGTTCTGTCTTAGATTGTGATACCACTTTCCCTCTTCTTGGAGGCTTGCTTTATATTAAAGAGGGCAGCACCCTTTGGATCTTGTTTTCCATAGAGAAAAGCAAGTTCCTACTCTGACATCTGTTTAACACAATAAATATCCCAGATAACTATCCTGTTATAAATATCCAAACCTGGTCCTGAATCTTCTCCCACAGCCAACTAAGGCTACAGGTATTTGTTTCTGAAAAAAATGCTTCTCCAAAATATCTATATCCTTGCCTTGCTCACTAGGCCCTCAAGAGAAATGGAGAAAAGAAAGGTGACAGATAAAACTAAAATTAATGTAGGTGTGTTTATTGAAATAGAGGCGCTAAGGGGGAATGGAACTTATAGTTACTTTTTAAATATTGAAACTCTTTTCAAAGCTTTAAAAAAAAACTGAAAGCAAAAAGATTATCGGAATGTCCCCAAAATTCTTCGTAATTTTTTCTTCCTATTTTTTTTTTTACTTTCAATTTATCCACTTCTACACATCTCAAGTCATCTCTGCCTGATGTTAAAACCAGTTGTATTTGTTTACCTAGTGCTCAGAGCACCCAACATTTAGAGGCTTTTCCAAATTCTTCATTTTATTTCCCTACCCTCATTCAATTCCTTTCTTTCCTTTTGTCGTTTTCTTTGCAACGTACTGAGATGCTAGATCAGAAAAATGTGTGATCTAAGAACGGCCTTTGTGCTAAATGGAAACGAGAGAGCCTGTTTCGTCTCAAAATTTCGAAACTTGTTCCTCGAAGTTCTTCTGCCTATTGCAGTGATGGCGAACCTTTTAGAGACCGAGTGCCCAAACTTCAACCCAAAATCCACTTATGTATTGCCGGGTGCCGGGCAGGCGTGGTCCGCTGGGTGGGCATGGCTACAGCGGGTGTGGCAAATGGGTGGGCGTGGCCAGGGTGGGCGTGGCCAGCCCGATGTTGCTCATGGGGAGGGACACCTGTGAGGGCCAGGCAGGGTTGGGGGAGATCCAAGGGTCTCTGGCGGGTGGGGTGGTGGGCAGGAGGCTGGTGCTGTGGGGTGAGGCGAGGCAAGGCGAGGCAGGGCGGGGGTGCCATGTCACAGGGCAAGGCGAGGCAGGGGCCAGGGTGGCTCCTGCCTGACACCATCGGCCCCCGCACACAGAGGCCAGCAAGTGCATGGGTGCTGGGATGCATCCGACCACGTGGGACCTCGGCGAGTTAGCGGGCGGCTGGTTGAAGAGGACGGTTGCCATCTCCGGGGCATGGCGCACGTGCCCACAGAGAGGGCTCCGAGTGCCGCCTCTGGCACCCGTGCCATAGGTTCGCCACCACTAGCCTATTGTGATCCTAGCCCTCCTAATTATTATTATTATTACTACTATTACTATGATTACTATAGACGGATTGCCCGGAGTGAGCTCCAAGGGGCAACAGCTGATTCTGGCATGTCTTGCTCCCCTGTGGCTGTGTTGTGCGGGGGAGAGGCACGGAGGAAGCGCCCCAGATGGGTCCTCCTCTCGGAAAGAGCCCAGAAGGCCCGGCGTTGACATAGCAACTTTCGAGCCTTTAATATTTGGCAGGATGGAAGGACGCTGAAATAGGGAGAGCATCCACCATTCACCTCGGGTTTCCATCCCTTCCCCCGGTTTCAAGGAAGTCCACCCTCCCCTCGGTTTTCGGTTCTCCCCAGCGCGATCCAGGTCGACCGAGGAACCCCGCCCGGACGTGGCTTTCCTTCCTCCCTGTGTATAACTCTCCCAGTCCGCTCCAGGACTAACTCTTCCCCGCGGTCCCCCCTTTACCGCATTTTCACTCACCGAAGGCCTCAAAGGAGCCACCTCCACTTTCTGACAGGGCCCGAAATAGAGTTCTGTATTAGCCTGGGGCCAATGCTGCCTTGTGTCCCGCCCCCCGCGTCACGTTCTTGACGTTTCCTGCCACGGTCCAATCCTCAAGAGCTTCCGCACCCGTTGTATCGTCTCATGGGTTACGCGAAGTGCCAATCACGCCCCTTTCCTTCGTTTCGTAAGCGTCGCGACGGCAGATCGCATTAGGACTCCCCGCTGCGAAAGTAGTTCCGTAGCGATTTACGGATTGAGCGCGACGCGGTTTACGCCACTATGCGTTTAAAAGCTGTAGACAGATCCCTCCGCTGGAGTAGCTTAGTCTTCTCTTTCTCTCGGCTTCTTACCCCTTTAGTCTGTAATTCGTCATTCCCTTTCCCCCCGTATCCCAAGTTTCACGTAATTATTGCTCAGATCCAGTCATTAAGAAGGGCCTGAATTGGCCAACCAATCAGTGAGAAAGGCTCTGTGTTACTAGGCGGGTATTGTTTTGATTAGATTTAGAAGAGGCGTTAGAAAAAGCGAGCGAGGAGAAGCTGCTGATGCTGAGGAGGCTATTATCTAACCCAGTGTTTCTCAACCTTGACCATTTTAAGGCATGTGGACTTCAACTCCCAGAATTCCACAGCCAGCATTGCTGGCTGTGGAATTCTGGGAGTTGAAGTCCACATGCCTTAAAATTGTCAAGGTTGAGAAACACTGAGTTGTGAATGCACTGCCAGTATCATGTAGGATTGGTGGAGAACGGTTACGTTTGTTACTGTTTTTTCCCCCCCCTCAGCTTTTATTTTGAATGCTAAACAAATGTGACACTAGATTCCTTCTCTCCTGCGGCGGAAAATGGCTGATAGGCCCCCTATAAATATTGAGTTGACGCCCTTTGAAATTTTGCAGGACTAAGCTTGAAGCTCAAGTCGGATCAGATTCAGGTGAAATACCGTAAGATGGTTGGAAATCTTTGATCAAAGAGGGTGATGGAGGCAGTGAGGTAACGCTGTATCGAGAGAGGACGTTTGTCTGTGGTTCGCCAACTCTAGATGTCTAGTCCTTGAGGCAAAATAACCAGCACTTTTTGCGATATTTTTTTTTTGCGATTTTCTTTCAAGCGCTAAGTAACTTTTATTGGCATTTCCATTCTTTTACAAGCTTTTTACCCCTGTCTTTTACAAAGTTTACTCTGATAAAATTTTATTATGGACTATGATGAAAATATGGATTATACACCTGAGAAATGAAATTAAATCATAAAACTGATTAATAGTAAATCCAGAGAGGACCGCTGTACTTTTAAATTTTGAATGGCACTAGGTTGCTGAAACGTTTTTATGCGTATGTAAAATCAACAGGGTGCATCTAGCAGTCCTAAAATATACCATATTTGCTCATATCTACAAACATTTCCATAGGCTGTTTATTTTTGCCTTATCCACAGGCAGCCTCCTCTGTGGGATATGATGTAAGATATTGCTTAGAAATACAACACACTGCAGTGTAAATCCTGGTTTACAAGTAATGAGATAGGATTTGTCAGATATATTTCTCTCACCCTGAGAGTGCTTATGATTCAGTCATGGCAACATTCAGTATATATTGACTTAAAAGGAAGTCCTGTTAGGCTCAAATATATATTCTCAATCATAAATTAACATGGCATCTGATATTTTGGCAGCACAAATTTGTTTGGAATTTCTGCCTTGATTGTAGGATACAGCTTGCTTGATCAGCCTGGAAAAATACAGTATTGGTGTAGAACTGAAAACAACTGAATGCCAATTGTGAATCTAAGATTCTGAATTTAATACTAAAAGAGGCTAATATACTTTTGGCCTGTGCCTTAGTATGTGGTATAGAAAAAAATCCAAAATTGATAATTTTCAGTTATATTTAATTAGTTCAATAATTTAGAAGCTGGTAGGCGGCATCAAAGTAACCATTATCTATTACAGTGGTTCTCAACCTTTTTAATGCCGCGACCCCAACCGGTCGTAAGTCGAGGACTAAACCGGTCATAAGTCGAGGACTAAACCGGTCGTAAGTCGAGGACTAAACCGGTCGTAAGTCGAGGACTACCCAACCGGTCGTAAATCAAGGACTTTCCCTGCCCGGGAGTGCCGCGCATGCGTGGTTCCACCCCCTGCGCCGGCCGAGGCGTAGCTGGCAAGCGGCAGAGACAGAGCAGGCCGACCACCAGCTGGTCCAGCCCAAGGGAGGTAAGGCACCCGCCGGAAAAGGGGAAAAAATGGTGGACAAAAAAAATGGTGGACAGCCTTGCTTGGCGACCCCCGTGAAATGGTCGATCGACCCCAAATGGGGTCCCGACCCACAGGTTGAGAACCACTGATCTATTACAAGCTTCAACATTGTAATAATTGTAAAACAGGGATTCATGTAATTAAGTTTTTTTCTGGTGGAAGTCCTACATTATTCTCATATTCAAAATAACTGGATATTTGGTTCAATAGATATATTTCAACTCCTACATACACACATAGACGAGTTTATGTGGGATAATTTGACTTTAGAATGATGCTTGGAAGGAGGAAAAGGGAAAAAGATGAGAATGTGCTTCACACTGAACTTGAGCTCCTCTAGTTGTAAAAAACAAACAAAAAAAGTAATGCTTCCTACCTTGTCATATTTATTTGTATTTGTAGATCATCAAATCAAGAAAGGACTTCCAGCAGTATTTACAGCAGTAATAAACAGTAGTTGTGTCTTTTTTGAGTTGAGTTCCACTCTTTGTGAAATCATAGAGACAACCATGTTTTCATGTCAATAATATGAAAATGGTTTATAGCATACAAACCTGGTATTCCCCAGAGGTCTTCCATCTAATTATTAATTGCAAATCAACTTAGGGAACTGAGTCCTGCCATCTGTTGAATCATTTATTTACAGGAGGTGTTACATCATAGTTCACTGCCGCAATATGTCATTGCTGAAATTAAACTATCCAGAAGAGGCTGCCAGCACCAATAGTACAGGCAGTCCTTATTTAGCAACCACAATTATGACCAGCAAGTTGGTCATTAGGCAAAGTGGTTGCTAAACGAAACTGCCATTGTTCTTATGATCTTTAGAGCTTTACAGACTTGCAAAGGTCATAAATATAAGGACTGATCACAAATTTATTTTTTCATCACCATTATAACTGCAAACAATCACTAAATAAGTCATTTACTAAATAGAAACTACCTGCATATTATAAACCCTTTGAAAACGGATTCATGTACACATTTAAAAATGTTTATCCTGAGCCATTGGCGTAATTTGGTATAGAAATCAAATGCATGTTTATAACTGTATATTCCAATAAGCAGATATATACCTAGTATCCCAGGCCAAAGATGCAGGACCTTCTGAGCAAAATTCCTCTTTCCAGACATATGCAAAATATGGTCTAATTGAATCTTTCCAGAACAAATCCAGAAGAAAATGGATTTTTTTTTCTCCAGCAACTGATAAGAAATGTAAGTTATTTTCAAGATTTCCTAATGCTCAGGAGTGTGGTATCAACATGTTTTAGCTCAGAGAAAAGATGGCAAGAAAATATTGTGAGTTGGTCTCTAAAGACTTCTAGAGATATGGGCTAAAAAAGTTTTGTGATGTTGAAAGAGCAAGCTGATGACTGAGAACTAGCTGGGGGGGAAATGCCGTTTCCATTTTCATAGGTTACCAGGCATATTGTTTCATTTCCAAAGTCCTGGAGCAACTTTTAATATTGTGCAAGATGACACGAATCATTTTTTAGAGTGATAAATGGTCTAGCAAAGGAAGTATGTGATGCTGGTGACACTTATTGTTACCATGGCTATAGAGTCTGCTTATTTAAAAAAACAGTGAGAGGGCAGCAGTAGACAGTTGTTGGAAGGAACTAGAATTATCCCTGCACTCAAAAACTATTACAAGAAGGCTGAGTGAAAGAAATTCTCCCTTTAGGGAACTCATAAATGAAAATAAGTGAAAGAAAAAAGTATGATCCTTCTTTGATTTGGTTTCCTCTATAAACCTTTCCATCTGGAGCAGACTTAATAGATTGCAATTTCAATTTACAATAATGCTTTCTTGATTGAAATAATCACACACTTCAGCAATACCAAATAAATTTAAAATGTTTATATTTGGGGTATGTTTTTTTCTTAAGGCAATATTATATGGGTCGTAGCTCTCTTATTTCTCTTTTTATGTGATGCATTTTTCAGTTTTCCCTCATCTGAATTTTAACTCTGAACAAACTAGTTTGTAACCGCTGTGGGGTTCTGTGGTAATTTTGATAGTGAGAGGAAAAGCTTTGGTTCCTATTGGCTGAACTGACAGGCCTTATTATGGCTGTAAATATGCCATCTGCTAAAGAAAATGATCAGCCATGTCTTTGGTTTCACCAGATGAGGTAAATGTTTTTCACAAGAAAAAACTGATGAGTGAAAAAAGCTTGATGGAAAGAGGATCCAGGAGGTAGAAAAGCTGAAAGGCAAATGCTAAAATACAGGGAAGCTGAAGAAAGGTGATATTGAAGCTGATGGAAGAGGAGATAGCGGCAGCCTTGACAAATGAGAAAATTTGTTATCAATTCCTTGCCAGTCTTTCAAGAAGGGAGGGGAGGCAAGATTAAGGAAAGGAATGGCAGTGCAAAAAGAATCATCATGCAAGTGTTTTACATGAGGAAGGAGTCAAACGCTCAAGTGGTGAATAAGGCCCTTGGGAAATGCATGATAAAGAAGACTTGAGAAAGGTAACAGCCAAACATATGCTTTCTGATTTAGCTTATAAAGTAGGATTAATCTCTATCCTTAAAGGGGCAGGGAGGATGCACATCCACTATTTCCGTCCATTCCACTACTTAGAAAGGCTGTAAAGTAATGCAATACTACAAAGATATTAGTTTGCAATAAAAAATTGTAAGAAATATTAAAACAAAACCTTGATATGATCTTATCTGGTTTGAAAGCAGTACTCAAACATGAGTGAGAGAGTAGCCTTTCCAAAACTAGGACCATTTAGATGTATTGGTCTTTCACATACTGTAAGATTGGGAGACTCCAG